TCTCTCTCTTCCTCTCCTGCTGCAGACACAGGTATCCCTCCATCTCTCTCTTCCTCTCCTGCTGCAGACACGGGTATCCCTCCATCTCTCTCTCTTCCTCTCCTGCTGCAGACACAGGTATCCCTCCATCTCTCCCTCTTCCTCTCCTGCTGCAGACACAGGTATCCCTCCATCTGTGTCTGTCTGTCCTGTGCCTGTGCTTCTAGGATGGGCTCAGGGTTGTTATGATAATAGAAAGATGGAAGCAAATAAAAAAAAAGGATTAAATGAAAAGAGACTAAGAACAAATGAGTAAGAAGAGGTAAGGTGGTTTAGCACAGAAAACACTCAGAGCAGTTCATTGATTAAAATTTGACTCTCCTGCTCTCTCTCGCCCCCTGCAGGATCAAGGAGTTAAAACAGAGCAAGGAGCTGGAAAGGATGCAGAAGAGGGGATTAGCCACATAAACCTCACTCCATCGCCACCTCCTTAGCTCCAGTATAAGGCAGGAGGTCCATTTCTCTCCCCCCCCCTCTCTCTCCATCACTTCCCAGAATGCACAATTTCCATCCTGCAAAGTACAAAGAGGAGAGAGAGGAAGAGAGGGGCGAGGGGAGATGGTGTCTGGCGCATTTGGAAAGCGTGTTTCTGGTTTGGGGGGGATCGGCTGGCATCTGAGCTTCTTGGGCTGCAATGCGGGGAGACCATGTCCTCTTGGAAGAGGAGGTCTTGGCTCAAGGGGGGGGGGGGTGGGTTCTGGTTCCCCCTGTTGCTCACTAGCTGAAGGCAGGATCCCGGGTCTGAACCTGGTTTGCTCCTCCTCCGGACCACCGAGCGGCCTGTCAATCCGAGGGCATTGTGCCAAGATGTCTGTCTGTGACCATGCAAATTAAATCTTTGTCAGTTACCCCGACCCTGCATACCCCCTAAATTTAAACATTTCCAGTCTGGAAATCCAAACTGCAACATTCAGACAGGCTGTGAATGGGATCTTCTGAACGGACCTGGTCAGAGTGATCTGAGCCCGGTCATGGAGGTGCTGGTATAATTGTGGTCACTTGCAGCCAAAGACGTAATCAAACCAATTAAACCAATAACGAGCTCTTTAATTGAATAAAAGCCGAGTTGAAACTGATAACCTGCAGGTGCTCACCAGCCCTCAAGGACCGGGACCCCTGACTTGTCCCTCTCATGACTCTTCCTCGCCGATGTCTCCCTCGTCCCACTTTCCTTTTTGGACAGTCCGAGGAAGTGAAGGCAGGTGTGACGGAGGCCTGACAGTGGAGAGAGAAGGGAAGGAAGAGGAGGGGGAGGGCAGGGAAAAAGACTGACACACTGACTCACTGACACACTGACTGACGGTCTGACACTGACTGATGACCAGACACACGGACTCACCAACACAATGACGATCTGACACACTGACTCACTGACACACTGACTGACGGTCTGACACACTGACTGACGGTCTGACTGATAGTCTGACACACTCACTCACCGACATGGTGACTGATCACTGACTGGCTTACAGACACAGATGACTGGCTGACACTGAGACACCTCACTGTAATTGACTTTACAACATACTGAGTGACTGATACCCTTCACCATGAATTAATTGTGAAGTCTTAATCCAGCAGTGCACTTGGTTTGTTAGTTGAGCTCTGTTAATTACTGCGTTGGTTGTAACTGGACCAGCGAGGAATCGCTTATATTCACCTGAAGTCTTAAACCACAGATTAGCTTGATTCCCATACTGCCTACCAGTCTGCAGGGGGGGGGGTGTGGAGGGCGCAAGGTTGATTGGAACCCCATCTCAACCTTTGACCTTCTTTCAGAGGGATGTAAAATAGGTGCAGCACTACTGTACTGTATTGAAATGAACAGCAACAAAATTGTAAAATCTTACATCAGGAACCCTCTGATGGACATTCTCTTGCTCTGTAGCACGCAGTGACCCGATTCCAGAGGCAGCTGTGTGCTGTGGCATTCCAAACACTCTGCAAACCTGTAGCTATGGCTACAGTATATGTTGAGAGAACAGTGAGATACCCTGTCTGTGCTAGACATGGTACACAGCTGCAAGACTGTGATCCTCACAGTCCCACCTATACGTGAACCCAGTGTTCACCACACAGGGCAACCAACTTTAAAAGTCCCTGGTGGACACTTGTAATGTAGCGCCCCCTGGTGTCCTCTGTCTGTCCATGGCAGTGTGTTCCCTATGGTCCTGTGGACCTAGTCTCAGGGCAAAGCACCCAAAGTTACAGTGATGTAAAGCCTGACAAGAAGGTTGAAACCCCATTCATCAGACGTTCCTGGAGGGCTTACTGGTTTTTCCGACAGAAGTGTGTGAATGCTGTTTCATTACTGGATTGAGGCAGTGCAGGCAGACTCCTCCCCCCCGCCCACCTTCAAGCCACTCATCACAACACAGGCAGCACCGCCCCCACTGGAGGGTCACTGCTGATTGGAGAGGCGTGTCCCTCAGCAGTAGCACCCCCTGCCTGCCAGCTAGTGAGAAGCATCACTTCATTAAGTTAAATTAAGCTGTCTTTGTTTTCCCATTTTTTAAAACTGAGCATTGCTAGTTAATTGTTTTTAATCATGTACCTGTCCAGCTGGAATTTGCCTCTGTGCCTCCAAGCTGTTGGCCCCTCCCACCTGCCCCATTTCTCCTTCGGACACGTCACCCAGCCCAGGGCAATCCCAGACAGCGATCAGACTAGTCACATGACCCAGGTTTGAACCTGCGACATCTGGATGACAGAGCCAGTACTCAATACTAGATCAGTGTAAGACTAATTGGTTGAGTTTTACAGTTGATAGTTTAGAAGACGGTGTTGACTTGAGCCTGGAGGAATGTAATAGGTAATTGGACTAATTGAGGAGCCCAGAGTTTAGCTGGGACACAAGGCCAGAGACTCTACGGTCCTCCAGGAGCGGATTCTGATGATTCTCCTCCAGGTACTCCGTGTTGTTTTCCCTCTGCTTCTCTCTCTGGCTCTTAATTGCATCATTGAATTGATAATCTGATAGATAAACTACCTTTATAAAGTTGAAAATTTCAAGATGCCTATGGATACTTATAGTGTAGGTCAAATGAAAGGAAATTACAAATGTTGTAATTAGCAGATTATTACTTAAATCTGGTGGTTCAATTAAATAAAAGCACAGCTGGAACAAAAACCCATAGACACTGAGGTGTCAGGATGTAGGACTGGGGAGCCCTGCTTTATTGGGGAATATTGGTCAATATTGTCAGATGGAGGCCCAGTTGCCCACAGCTGATTTGTCTGGGTCTTTATCCTGTTGTACAGTAAAGGGACTCTGGAAACACCAGCCGAGAGAATCTCAAAGGTGAAAAAGCCTAGATGAAACTAAGGGAAAATAATGGAATATTGCGTTTATAAAAGTTCAAAGTAGTTTTAAAAGTGCAGTACCGTTACCTTTTTCACTGAGATGTTTTGGAACTGGATTTTGTGCATTGATTGTAGAATCACATGCACACCATTTTTTTAACAAAAAAACAAAAGAACCATTTCAGATTCCTGACACAGTGGTGTTCACATAGCATCTGACATGTTTTCAAAGTTGTGACAATGGGCCTTTCCAAACAGATAAAACAATATTAGCATACATAAAAAGGTAAGGTCTATCAGTCTCCTGAGCTCTGAATCCAGATTCTGCTCAAATATTATCCCGTTTACACTGTCCTGTCAATCTGGATTCAGGCTCTTTGGACTGTACTCCGAACTCTACCCTAATCTGGATTCGGGCTATTCACACTGAACCCCCCACATAGACACACCAGGAAAATTAAAGCTCTGCACTTCTCAAACACCACAAAATTACAAAACTAATCAGATTATAGGTATATACCAGTAATAACAGGATTAGGGCTTTAGACTGAGGATTGTAAAACTGAATTGGGAAAGAAAATGAATATGCATTACTCTGTACATACTGTAAAATACTGAGATTAGATTTGAGTATATATTTAAAACAGCAAAAAATACTGAGCTTGCTTGGTTGTTCTGGAGAAAATACTATTTGTCAGTTTTATTCATATTGCTGTTGATTATAATGGTGACGCCGACAGCGTTCAGCTGTTGACAGAGGAAGGCGTGACCGAGCCTCTGCATGTGATCGTGTGACTTTGCATCGGAAATCACGCGTGTGCTCCATATACTGCTGATGTTCAAATATATATATATTTATATATAACTTATGTCTTTTTCTGTACTGTAAATTGGTTTTCTTGCACTTTTTTGCATTTGTCTAAGTTGAAGCTGTTTTAATTTTTCATAATGATATTAAATAATACTGAAACTCTGTATCTGTGTTGTCAGGTCTTTGGTCATCCCCGTTCAGGACTGTCTGTAGATTCCCGGTGTCTGGTGTACGAAGTGTAGTAAAACCAGGATAATCATAGCCTAGTCTGGAACTGGCCACTGGGACTGTAGTCTGGACTGTAGGAGCTTCACTGACTGAGACACCAGTCCCTGGGACTGCAGTCTGGACTCCAACAATTGCACTCCGATCAAGCCCCTTCACCGACTGAGCCACCAGCCTTTGGACTGTAGTGTGGACTGTAGGAGCTGCACATGCTCCCCGGTTGTGTTTTTACACAATGGGTAGCGGGAGTCTGGAACAGGTTCCTTTGAATGCTGTAACTACTGTTGTACCCAGTGTTTGTAACAGGCCACTCCAATCCAGCTCCTGTTTTAAAATCCAGCTGTGCCCCCAGATACTGGAGCACTTCATAAGAATAATTGGATTAGTCGTAACCTTTACTGTTAAAAGCTTTGGAATTGCTTGAGATTTTATGTGAGCTGTGAATTTTATCATTTAAAATCTGCAACCTAGCATATTTTTAAAATGATTGCAAAAGCCCAATTAAACAATTAGTTAAATTAAGAGTTGGATTACGTAGCAGATCTAAACTGAAACAGAAACGGGGAGATGCTGGGGTCCCCAGCACTGGGAGGTTCTCTTCTACACATTGGTGATTTTAGGGTGATCCAAAAGGCATGTACCCTGGTTCCTAACAGGCTGGAATCGCACAACACACCTATTAAATATGACATCTTTATTAATTCAGACTCTGCCTAAATTTCATCATCATAAAAAAACACCTGACTGTACAGGATTCCAGGGTGTTCAGAACGTCAGTGGGCTCGTTCAGACTGTGGCGAGGACTGGGCCCCACACCCACAGAACGTGCGGAGCACACTGCCACAGATGCAGACAGCGGTGGAGTGTGGGTTCTGGTGTGGGGGTCTCAGGGATACCTGCGAGGTCAGCACCCTCTGGTGTCCAACAAGTTTAAAGTCCAGCTAGAGGCAGGAAAGGCATAGCCACCAGCCTAACACCTTGTCTGACAGAGACAATAAAGAATCAGCTCAGGAGAACGCTTTAACACAGTGGTGACACTGCGCAGATTCAAGTGGCTGTGTACCCCATCCTTCTGCACGCAGAGCCACCAGGAACAGAGGTGGAAGTTGCACTGAGATGATGAGATGGTTGCTGGTGGACACTGGTGATGTAGCGCCCTCTGCTGTCCACTGTCTGTCCATGGCAGTGTGTTCCCTTTGGTCTGTTTGGACCCAATCTCGCTGCTTCATAGATCAAAAGTGCAGTTTCCATTGTACATGGGCTTGAAATAAACCTGCTCACTGCTCTTCATACATATGTTGTATACAGTACATTGTCTAATTTAATATACTGTAATCCTGGGGTACAAGTCTTTGAGCGCTACATAGGGTCTGTTGGTTGAAAAGTGACCACTGGGGTCCCCAATAGAATGGGGTCACCTGTCCTCACACCCTGCTCGATTTCCTGTATCAGAGCTGGTCCTGTAAACTGGTCTTCTCACTGCTCAGCACACCAAGCCAGCTTTACACAAGTCTCAGATCCAGGAGGATGCAGGATCCAGGTGGCAGCCTGTATTCCCTGGAACCAGCTGTCTGTGCCTCTGCCTACCTGACTGTCTGCTTAACTGGGCTTCTCTAAGCTCGGTACACCATCTACTCCTTTGTCTCACAGCCTGCCTGTTCATCTGTCTTCTTGCCTCAGCACATCTGGATGTCTGTCTTGAGTGAGTTCATTATGCCTGTCTGTCTGTGTTCATTTCTGAACTCTGTCTGCTTGTCTGCCTATCTGTCCCAGTGGCATCCTTGCTCTCCACCCCCCTCTGCTGGCCAACTGTGTAACTGCTGTGCCCAGCACACCCGGCAGGGGCCTGTCAGACTGCGGCTTAGAGAGACAGTCCTGCAGAGGCTACAGGGTGCCAGAGCCTCTCAGCAAGTCAAAGAGCTGGAGAACTGGTTCACTTCTACAGGTAAGTCACATAATCACTCCGGATAACAGAGTCATCCATCTGAGCATAGCTCTGTAGAGAGCAGGGTTAAAAATCCCTTCTATAGGTGCTCTGGAAAACACTGATGTTGGTTGCTTCCATGTAACTCTCCATTTTCTCCTTCCTTCTCACTCTCGAACCCAGGACCAGAGAGACAGAAGTGGAACAGAGTCTAGGTATGGGATGGGTGGAGCGCCTCAGCTCTGAAGACAATCACAGTGACCCCCCTCAGCCGCAAGGACACCCCACGGACACGCTTTGTCTCCCCTTCCTGCGTCTGTCTGTCACCGGAGAAACACCATGGTCAGCAGACCTGCAGAGACAGAGAGGGGAGGGCAGAGAGAGGTCGAACAATAGCACAGCAACAGACAGAGAGAGGGAAATAGAGCCAGTCCAATCCCAGACTTCCCACACCTGCTGAAATCAGAACATCTTCCAGTTCTGCTGGGGGAGGAAACTCAAAAGAGATGCAGCCCAGTGTTTGATCTCCTGTCACAGCCTGAGCAACAGACAGTGAGCCTGTTTTGGCACCAGCGAGCGAGCTGGGTGGGAGACAGGGGGTCTGGGCTGTGCCTGTGGAGGGACAGTGCCCACTCAGGGAGGAAGCGGCTCACTCGCTCACTGGCTCTCACCCAGGATGTAGGCGCACACCAGCTTTTGCATCACAGTCGCGCGGACGGCAGGCGGAACCAATGTGCTGGGTTCTCCGTGCAGGGGGAGCATGAGGAAGGCGACGCACACCACCCCGACCAGCACGTACAGGACGAAGAGACCAGGGGCTGGGGCTCGACCTAGACGGGCACAGTACAGAGCCTTACAACACTGTGGAGTCCTTGTTATACAAATGTATCACTACATAGCACTATACTATTACCATACAGGCCCTACCCCACTGTTTCTCCAACATACTGCAGGACTGTGCCTGTCACTATCTCCCAGCCTGTCCACTCCTGTCCCTCCCCCACTCTCACCTGCGTGGTTCTGCAGGCTGTACTGCTGACCCCAGGTGCCCAGCATGCCCCCCTGCATGACCGGTCTCTTCCCTGGGGGGTGCTCCTGGCTCTGGCCGCTCCCCGCTCCGGGCTGCAGGATGGCAGGCACCTCCTTCCACCCACCAGGGCCCCCCCCCTGGCCCCCGGCCCAGATCTCCAGCCGGAACCGGTCTCTGCGGCCTAGGTGATGAGAGCTGACGTCCTTGTGACGGACCACACTGAGGGAGAGAGACACAGCTGTCTGTAACACAACAGCATGGTACTTGAACCCCCAGAGACATCGGCACGGTCAGCCCACTGACTGTCCTCTTCAGAATCAACAGTCCAACCAACCAGGGGGCCCATGTGGAAACTACCTGTAAGTGCTTTATGGAAAAGAGGCATCCCTTTACACAAAGTGTGGTGGAGGTATGGAACAAGCTGCCAGCCATGATGTTGAAGCCTGCACTCTGATTTCAATTAAAAAACAGCTGGATGAGATCAATCAACTACTAACAACCAAGTGGACCAGGTAGGCCAAATGTCCTCTTATATGTAACGTTTCCTATGTTCTTTATAACAGTAGGTTTCTATGTCCAAGGGAAAGAGACAGTTGATCAAACACTGCACAGAACAGAGTGAAATCCAGCTGTGATTACAGATTACGTCAATACAGATGTGTGCAGTGGTTCACTGGAATACAGATGTGTGCAGTGCAGTGGTTCAATGGAATACAGATGTGCGCAGTGGAGAGTTTCACTGGAATACAGATGTGCGCAGTGGAGGGGTTCACTGGAATACAGATGTGCCCAGTGGAGGGGTTCACTGGAATACAGATGTGTGCAGTGGAGGGGTTCACTGGAATACAGATGTGTGCAGGCCTTGGCTGTAAGGGACAACATCCCAGCTGCTCACATGTCCACACAGGAGCTGGGCTTCACGCTGCCTTCGGCGTCGACCACAGTGTAGAGAGAAGGAGC